TGAGGCAGCATATAAATAAATTATTATTAAATAACTTTTAAAAACAAAAATTAATTATTGAACTTTGCATGCTTAATTCACATGATAAAAAACTTCTGCAAATTGAAGTTTTTAGTTTATAAAAGTTATCCAGATGATTTCTGAGAGCCAAAGCAGAACATGGTCAAATAGCATAGTTTTAGAAATGAATGGCAAGGCTGAATTGATTTTTTTTAAAGACAAACATATAAAAACCTGTCTCCAGCTTCTAACCTTAATAGATTACTCATTCTTCCTTTCAAATAACGTAATGTACAAATCACTAGCAACTGTAACATATTTACTTGACTGCTACTGCTAGCTTTCATAGAGCAGTTTATATTTCCATTTGTCCACTCATTACATCATCCTGCGGTTTTCTTTAAAGGTTAACAGTGTAGAATGACTACATGGTTGGAATCTGTCTTTACCCAAACCCAAATAATTTCACAATAAAAGGATAAGGGAAATGCATAAGCTTTTCACAGAAGAAGCCATTATATAGTCCAAATAATATATTCGAGGAGAGTTAAGAAACTACCAGGGAAGGAATACATAATCTATAAATGATCAGTTACTATTTCTCCTTGCACTATGAGTCACAGGGAATAGCTATCTCCATTTGATTGAGTTCCAGATATGACAGATATTCCACCAAATCCTAGCCAATATAGTCTAAATCTACAAACGAGAACATTGAATTTTGTGGTTCAAATTCATGATCCATTTTTTTGTAATACATGCCACTAGATTCTGGAATGCTCTTCCAAGCAAGGATGTAGGGATTTAAAAATGGAAATAATTTTTAGAATAGTTTATTCTATAAGAAAAAATTCCTTTTAAGAACACTATCTTTTAAGAACACATTATTTTACAACTAAAATATTTTTCAGTTTATTTCTTTTCAGTTTACTAAGATGCAGCAAATAAGTCTAAATAACTTTGAAGGTAGAATTTCAATGTCAGAGTAGCAAGAGGCAAACAAGAACTTATACCAATAAACTAACTACAGCCTTTAAAATGGAAAAGATGATGAAATCCAACCAGAAACAAGAAATTAAAGTTCTTATGCCAAAGGTAGCAGAAGCTTCCTTTCATACTAAATATTGACTATCCAGATATATGATGATCAAGAATGACTCACACTAAACATGAGTGCCAGATCTAAGCTGAAAAGATAGACCATCACAACCATCATCAGATAAAATTTGTTGTATATTGTTTGACTATTTAAATCCTATATATATATATATATATATAATTTTTTTAAAAGGAAGATAAAAACTAATACAGACTAATATAAAGTAAGAAAAAGAAAAGAAAAAGAAAGAAATCAAACCAAAAGTTAAAAGTGCAAGAAAGGGGGGGGGGGAGTAAACGAAAAATAGAAAAGAAAAAAGATACGAAAAAGTACCTTCTGATCTTCTTTACAACAGTTAAAAGTACAATTATAAATGTACCTCTTACTCTATGGTTACAACATAACTCTCTTCTTTCTATAATCTACCCTATCTAATCATCAAAACCATAAATCGTAAGTTCATTTTTTTCTTTCATGAAAAAGTCTATAAGGGGTTTCCAATCAGCAAGAAATGTAGATATTGTCTTTTCTCTCATCAAAGAAGTCAATTTAGTCATCTCATCAAGTTCCATCATCTTCACCAACCATTCCTCCATTGTGGGTAGTGCCAAATCTTAGTGCATACAATAATCTTGCTACAGTTATCATGTACAAAAATAAAGTTCCATAACTTTTTTCCAACTGTTTGTCCACCAATCCCAAAAGAAAAACCTCCAGTCTCAATTATATATTAATCTCTAAAATCCTCTGAATCAGTGTATGTATTTGAATCCAGATTTTCTAGCTTTTTTACACATCCACCAAACATGATAAATGCCTCTTTTTGTTGTTCACATTTCCAACATAAATTTGAAGTGCTTTTATATATTCTAGACAACTTGTCTGGTAACACAGAGAAACAAGTAATTAATAGCAAGAAACTGTTAACCATCTTTATAGACTTCAGTGTGGCTTTTGATTCCATAAATAGAAACATTTTATGAAAGAAACTGGCCAATTTAAAATGGAACCCAGACTCTTACTCCTGGTTAAGGCCCTCTACTCAAACACCCACTTGAAAGTCTGTACAGGTGTAAATGATTCTCTAAGTGTATACCTATACATAAAGGTGTGAGACAGGGTTGTATTCTAGCCTCAATGCTTTTTAACCTCTATGTCAACAATATTCCAGGATCCGTTCATGCTTCAGACACTCATATGCCAAAGTTCCATGATAAATTTATTAATATTCTTTTATTTGCTGACAATATGGTTCTAATGGCGGATTCTCCTATTGTGTTCTCAATTCTTTAAACATCAATAAAACCAAATCTAAAGTGATGGTATTTAGCAAAAAAAAAAGTGTGAAAAATAATTGGCAACTGAATGGGGAGCCTATTAAACAAGTGAATTAAAAGTGGCTTTTACTAATACAGGGTCGTGGATAATTCATTTTAAAAGGAGCTCGGTGAGGCTGAGGCAAGTACCAAAAGATTATATACATTATTTAATTATAATTACCCAGGTACCTTGACCCCCATATTGAAAATGTTTAGGGCAAAAATAGTCCCATTGCCAACCTATGGTGCGGAATTGTGGAGCCTTACAAAAGCTACCTCACTTGAACAAGTCCAGACCCATTTTTTAAGAAGCATACTAGAACTGACAAGAACACATCAGCCCCCGCAGTCAGAGTAGGAGCAGGTACTCACTCCATACACAGCCACTCAATAATTAAAGTCTTTACCTATTGGCAGAAGATCCATTCAACGGACCCTGATAGGTGACCCAAAATATGTTTAGCTGAACAGATTAAGTATGGCTCACCTCACCTCCTGGGTAAGCCGACTTACCAAAATTATTTCACAGCATGGGTTTTCCACCCAATATTTACTCTCAACTGCCTCCCGGCAAAATAAATTTTTACAAGAGAGTCCTAGATATCAGTCTAGGAGATGGATAGACATGGAGTTATTGGCAAAATATTAAATAATCTTTACACTGGCTGGCTAAGAACAAATCCATTTTCCAGTTCGAAAAATACCTGTCAATGAGTTTCACGCAATTCTTAAGAAGGGCCTATTCTAGAACAAGATTTGAGTTGTTGGATTCCATGGCCAAATATGGGCACTTCCATCACCTGCCATATCATGAGAGGATGCGTATATGCAGTGATCCAGCCGAAGATATTGTTCATGTTTTGTTTGACTGTCAACTATATGTCCCTTTTAGGCTTAAATATTTAACATCCCTACTTGAAAGAACAGCCCACTGGGACCTGCAGATTGTCCTATTTCCTTCTGGGTGGTAACATATACACTGGGGTCTAACATATACACTGTGAGCAGAACTGCCAAGTTCTATTTTATCCTGGAATTAGATCCTGTATTTTATCTTTATTTTCTTTGATGTGGTCATAAGACTAACCAATTAATAAACTACTACTAGTATCTCACGATAAGTTAGCCATTTATGTTTGCCTAACATTTCTCACTTACAAAATGCTTCTTGTGTTGAGAGCCACAAAGGTGTTATTGGGCGCAGCCTGGCTTTGTATCTATTCCATATTCTCACTATGGCACGTCTAATGTAATGATTTTTAACATCCACATTAAAAACTTTTGGCAAAAATCTTAACACAGAGTTGATATAAGAAAGTTTAAAATGGATAAAGGGGACAGTTATTTTTAAATATTTTTTGGTGAAAGTGCTTTTGAACAAATTGGAATTAAATTAGACAAACGAACTGGACTTTTGTGGGAAAGTTTTTTGTTTACTATTAAAGAGTGCGAACAATTGGTGGACTTTACAAAACAAAAGATAAAGGTAATATAAGCCAGACTGTGATACTGACTGTAAATAAGAAAAAGAATTTATGAGAATGGGCTCAGTTCGGAGCATAAAGACTGTACTGTGGTGTGTGTAACACTGAGAAAAAAATTGTTTAACATGAAATAGCTCTAAATTTAGCAGCTCGTAGTGCTGGTGATAACTACTTGAAAGCTGAAACAAGCTATGTTAATATATATTTTGATTCCAACTCTGCAGCAGAAATTTTAACCACATTTTACTATATTTGCAATGTGTGTTTGTCAGTGGGCATTGGCTCTCTTATACTGAATTGAAAGCTGCAAGTAATTCTGCCCAAATATAGTGGAGTGATTAAAGCATTGTACTCAGACCAATGAGATTTAAATTCAAGTCTCCAGTTGAGCACAGATCTCACTGGATGACTTTGGGGCCCTCTTGCAGCACAATTGTTGTCATGGAGGTAGAAAGAGGAGATATATCCAGGAGTACTCTCTTGAGCTTCCAGATGAAAAGTAGGATAAACATGTAATGAATAAATAAATAAAAATAATCAGTAAGGTGTTCTATGGAAAACAGTAACTTTAAAGTTTATTTTGAGAACAGCCATGCTGGCTGGGGAATTCTGGGAGTTGAAGTCCACGTATCTTAAAGTTGCCAAGGTTGAGAAACACTACTTTAGAATTTAACTTTTGTAAACATGAATTTCCCCTAATCTTCAATGCAGCAACTACTACACAAAATATGACATTTTCTGATAATAGCAAGCTCAGACTATACATTTAATTTATTCAGCATACATTTAGCTTAGGTAAGTCAAGCCTATTATCCCTCATGTGTAATGTGAATGCAGGCTAAATAAATAAATACATACATACATACATACATACATACCAAATCACATGACATATCAATTGATCAGAATAAAACTGTAGAATGTATTGAAAGAAACATGAGGACTTGCATTTAAGGGAATTATCCCAGCTGTGACTAATTTCAATGCAATAATCTTATTTTATTTTTGAATAATAACTGCAAAAACTATTATAGAGAATAATAAGGAAAATATCCTTTCCCTTTAAGTTTAATTCCCTTTTTAAAAAGAAAGCATTACCTGAATTTTTCATACTAGAGCTGTTCAGTTTGGAATCTTTGATGACCAAGTGTTTAATCCAAAGCGTAGGGGCTGTGATTTCTGAAACACAAGGATAGGCTTATAATTAAAAAAATCTAGATTGTTTATTTATGTTAAAATTACCACGAGGCCAAGCAGATAATCAAAATAAAAATACAGTGCATGTTAAAAATATATTAATCAAAATACCAAGATAGATAGATAGATAGACCGAGAGCGCAAAACATTTTATTTTCAAATGCTTTGTGTGCAAAATTTCCACAATGTCCCATTTTCAAGTGCAAACCTGCTGTTTCAAGCGTGAAACGGGCAGTCCTGAGAATTTCTTATATATATATAAAAGAAAGATAAAAACTAACAGAAACTAATATAGAATAAAGATAATAGAGAAAAAAAGGAAAAGAAAAGAAAGCAAAGCCAAAAGTGCGGGGAAAAAAAATATATAAAGAAGTAGCTTCCGATTTTCCTTACAGCAGTTGTAAGTACAAGTATAAATTTACCTCTTACTCTATGGTTACAATATAACTCACTTTTTTCTTTAATCTATTTTTTCTAATCATCAAAACCGTAAATTATATTCATTTTTTCTGTTTCACACAAGAAGTCTGTAAGGGGTTTCCAGTCAGCAATAAACATAGATAATATCTTTACTTGAATCCAAGAAGTCAATTTAGCCATCTCAGCAAATTCTATCATCTTCGCCATCCATTCCTCCATTGAGAGTAGCATTGAATCTTTCCACCTTTGTGCATATAACATCTTGCTGCAGTTATCATGTATAAAAACAAAGTTCCATGGTTTTTTTCCAACTGTCCATCAGTCCCAAAAGAAAAGCCTCAGATTTCAATTGTATATTAATCTTTAAAATCTTCTGAATTAGTGTATGTACAGTATTTGAATCCGCATTTCCAACGTACATTTGAAGTACCTTTATACATTCTAGACAATTTTTCTGGTGACATATACCAATGATACATCATTTTATAAAAATTCTCTTTAAGATTATAACATACAAATTTCAGTCCTTTCAACCACATATTCTCCCATTGTTCCATTTGTATTCTGTAACCAAAATTTTTAGCCCACTTTATCATACATTCTTTAACTTGTTCTTCTTGTTTCAAATTTCAATAAAAGTTATACATTTTAGCAATAACTTATTCATCATTTGTACACAGTTCTATTTCAAACTCAGTTTACAGTGTTCAAAACCAAAAATTATTTTGTCTATTTTAACTCTCTCTAATAATTGTATATAAGAAAACCATTGACAAATATATCCCTCTGCTACCAGATCTTCCTTTAATTTTATTTTACATTCTCCTTGACAAAATTCTAGTATCTCGTGTAAGTTAGCAATTTGTGTTTACTTATTATTTCTCATCTATAAAATTCTTCTTCTACTGAAAGCCAGAGATGTTTTTGGACACAACCTGGGTTTGTATCTATTCCATATTCTCAATATGGCACATTTAACAAAATGATTTTTGAAATCTACATTAACCTTAGTTTTATCATACCATAAGTATCCATGCCACCTGAATCTTAAGTCATGTCCTTCTAACTCCAAAAGCCTTCTATTTCTCAGTAACACCCATTCTTTCATCCAAACTAAACAACAAGCTGCAAAATATACTTTCAAATCAGGTAGACCAAATCCTCCTCTTTTTTTACATCTTGTAATACCTCATATTAAGCTCATTTTTTTCCCCCTGACACACAAATTTAGATATGTTCTTCTCCCATTGTTTAAATGGTTCATCAGTTGTCAAAACAGGTATTGTCTGACACAAAAATAACACTCTAGGTAAGACATTCATCTTAATCATAGAAATTCTCCCCAGCAATGACAATTGTATTTTCTTCCATCTTAACATATCTTTTTTAATTTAATTCCATGTCTTAACATAATTATTTTACAATAACACGCAATTCATATTCATAACAATACCTAAGTATTGTATCTTCTTCTAAATCTTAATACATTTTATCAATTGTTTGATCTTGTATTTTCATATTTTCATTAATATTGTCTTCTGTTTATTAAGCTTAAAGCCTGCTAATGCACCAAATTCTTTTAATTTACCCATTAATATTTCAATTCCCTTTAAAGGATCTTCCAAAACCAGCACCAAGTTGTCTATAAAAGCTCTTAACTCGTAAGTCTTTTTAAAATTTTTACTCCCACAATTCTCTCGTCTTATGTCTCTATTCAGTATTTCAAGAACCAAAATAAACAGAAGAGGGGACAATGGATAGCCCTGTTTTGTTCCTTTTTGTATTTCACATGGTTTTGTTAGATCTCCATTAACAATAATTTGTGCTTTCCGTGAAGTATAAATTGATTTTACCCATGTTATAAAATTCTCTCCAAAATTCATATCTTCCAAAACTTTAAATAAGAAAGTCCAATACAAATTGTCAATGGCTTTCTCTGCATCTAAGAAAATCAATGCAGCTTGTTTTTCATTATGTTGTTCCAAATGTTCCAAAGTATCCAACATAGTTCTAACATTATCCTTTAACTGTCTTTAGGTAAGAACCCACATTGATCCTTGTGAATAAATTCTTGCAAAATTACTTTCAATCTATCTGCTAAAACATATGTGTCAAACTCAAGGCCCGCGGGCCACATCCGGCCCGGCGTGTAATTATATCCGGCCCACGAGATCAATTTATTTTTTATTGTTAATAATGGCCTGTCGATATGAAGCGCTGGTAACACAATAAACTACAGATCCCATAATTCAGCCTTGCCGAATGCTTCCCGCGTTAATCAAGTCTAACTTATGATGCTGCAAGTTATTGCGAAGCTAGCCCTCACGATGCCGAAGAGAAAAGTTGATTCTGAAAACAGAGCCTTTCAGCCTTGCCGAATGCTTCCCGCGTTAATCAAGTCTAACTTATGATGCTGCAAGTTATTGCGAAGCTAGCCCTCACGATGCCGAAGAGAAAAGTTGATTCTGAAAACAGAGCCTTTAAAAACCAATGGGAGGCCGAGTATATGTTTACTGACATTGCCGGTAAACCCGTGTGTCTCATTGGTGGAGCTAATGTGGCTGTAATTAAAGAATTTAATCTAAGACGGCACTATGAGACAAAACATCAGGATAACCTGAAAGACCTGAATGCAAAGCAGAAGATACAGAAAGCAGAAGAGTTAAAGAATCTGACACTTCAGCAGACGTTTTTTACTCGTGCAAAATCACAAAGTGAAGCTGCTGTGAAAGCAAGTTTTATCGTGGCAGAGGAGATCGCCAAATCAGCCAGGCCATTTACTGAGGGAGAATTTCTGAAGAGCTGCATGATCAAGGTGTTTGACGTCTTATGTCCAGACAAAAAGCAGATGCTGGCAAATGTAAGCCTGAGTAGAAA